TTACCGGACCTGGGCAGTCCTATTATACCATACCATACGAGTATAATTCACTCGGTTTTAATTGCAATTAGCGTGATCACTTCCCGTTCTTGCATTGTAAGCTATCAGTTTACTATAGGTATGAATGCAGATTAAAAGTTGTGAAATTAGTTGACTGTTATTGTAATTATGTAATTGCAAACAATGTAAATGCAAAGTACAAGGATGAAACATATTTTCAACTTCTATCATAATTATTGCCTTGATTTAGATATAAAGTGTGCTAATAATTATTGATAAAATATGAACTTGATAAAATATGAACTTAATAAACTTAAAAACTTAACCCATTATAAGTTCGAAACAATTAATTTTATAGAAACAGATCAGTTATAAAATGATATTTAAAGCTTGTGTCATCTTAACAGTAATATCAATGCAAACATAACTTTCCCCAAGAAAGTTAACAATTTGAGATCAATTATGGGACTATTATTGTCGCTCCCGGTTATTACAATATATGTCAATAAATTGCTAAAACATAATCATGAGATTAATGGCAAATGGTTTCAATATTTGAGTGAATTGTGGGAACTGTGGTCCAGAAGATTGAAATACAAGACCAATAGAGTCACAACACATGATGTCTGGAAAGATGATGTCCACGACTCAGGAATGTTACCATTTCCTCATGAGTGGCACTATGATATGCCCTCACAGGTATGGGGTTAATATTTTAAATGAATTTATAATCATTTTTATATGGTGAAAAATTTTAAAATTGAAATAGATTTATTAATTAGAAATACTAATTAAATCTTAAAATAAATAATAATATTAAATAAAATTCAATTAAGAGCCATTTAGTCATATAAGTCTATTTTATTATATTCAGAAACTTAATGAACAATTTCTTGAATTATGAACTTCTCATACAATATATTGATGCCAAAAAAATTCGTTACTAAATAAATTTTAATTCGTCTACCTCAACTCTAACACATGTAGATTTTATGAGTTTTGGTGAGGGATTTATATTTTAGCTAAACATTAATGAATTTTAATATTTTGAAATGATTAGGACAAAAGCGAGGATTTGTTGATATATGGCGTGAATTCATCGAAACAAAGCATTTATATTGCAATCAAATGGAGACCGAAAGGAGTGGACAATCAAATGAATGCAACCATTAGTTTGAGATTTGATGACAACAACAGTAATAGCTATACATTAGAGGAGGACTCGGATGTCGAGTACCGGAAGAATGAGTACAGAGTTTGTGGACTCGGAGTTGAGATAATGTCTCCATTCAGAAGGAAAAGGATTAAGTTTAGGGGATATCTCACGAAGAATGACAACGAATTAGTTTACGTTAAGTTCAGGTTCTTATGGTATTCCGTATCA